ACAGGGCTTTTCATATTTTTAACAGATTTTTGCTTGACTTCCATAATATTGACAAATTCTCTATGGAAACTTTGATTGTGTTTATTTCCTTTTGCCACCTTCACCTAAAGCTATCCTTCAACACCATTAAATTATATATCACCGGTATTCAACACCACATCCTCACCACTTGGCCTAAGTAGGCAACGCTTCCTGTCATCTTACCAGATAAAAGCCATACTAAAAGGTATCAAGGTCTCTACACCTACACCCATGCCTTCTAGACTACCCATTCACGATCAAGTGTTCCAGTCACTTTAAAAACCTTTTAGATACCTCACCATTTGAAACACATACGAATCAAGTCATCAAAACTGCCATCTATTTAGCATTCTACGGATTTCTAAGGCCCAGAAAATTCACCACCTCTAACAATAAATCGCCAAACTTCATCACAAGAGCACATCTCCTAAAATCACATGACAGCTACCTACTGTCTCTACACCATACATAAACTGGTGGCACGGGACAAACGGTCACTATCACATATTACCCGACTAGCAATAAATGGTGCCCCGTGGAAGTCTTCGATCACTACCTTTCCTCCATTTCAAATGCACCACATCAACCACTTCTGGCCTTACATGGTAAAACCCTCACTACTAGTAGGTTCATGCTCTATATGAGAATGTTATTGGTACGATTACGCTTTAACTCCGCAAAATATTTGGGTCACTCATTGCGCATAGGAGTCGCTACTACAGCATCTAAGAGGAATATTCCAGCACACATCATTAAAACGTTAGGGCGGTGGAAGTCCACTGCTTACACCAGATACATACCGCAACTAGTACAAAAGGGTACGTCTAGAATTCAAGAGAATGGTTATGTGATATACTTATGTTGTATTGTAGGCTGAATAAACTAGTTAGATCTTTTTGCCCTCTTTTATTTCAGGCCTTCCGCATCGTCAGTTCCAGCACACCACAACTGACTCTTCCCCTCCCACTGTTTGTTTTGTTACTAACTCTATGGCTTTAATGCTCTGAACACAAATGGAAGGCTGGGCATGAAGTTGTGGGAGGGGCTTGGTTTACCTTCTTAAGGAGCACCAGCCCCCTCCTCAATACCGTCTCAGGTCTGGCGATTTTCCCCACCCACCACTCCTCCTTTTATTATCATTACATAAGGTAGGCCCCCTTTTATTTCAGGCCTACCGCATCGTCAGTTCAGGCACACCACAACTGACTTTTCCCCTCCCCCTGTTTGTTTTATGTTAATACCCTGAATACAAATATTTCATTTTTAACTGTTTTTAAAACTCTTATTTTACTTTTTTCAGGCAGCAGGGGGACTACCTGTATTTACAGGTACTCCCTCTGCTTTCACTGATATGAACGGCTATGCCGTCCATGTGATCGTGAGGTCCTCACAAGGACCTCGCAATCACATGGCCCAGGAGGACTCCCTGACATGGCCGGTAAGTCCTCCACACCACGATCGCTGGCATGGGTTCGCCGGCGAGCGGGTAAGTACATAAGACGGCAGCAGTGGCAGCAGGATTCATATTTAGTGGGGGCACATGGAGGGCCAGGGACAAAAGTAGGGGGGAACATTTAACCCCGCCCTCACCGCAGTTTGACCCTGCCCCTGTCGCATGTTAAGCCCCGCCCCCGACACAATGTTTTTTTTTGTTTTTTTTAAATAATCCCTGGTGGAGGATTCATTATTTTCCACCAGGGATTATTAAAAAAACAAACACATTACCCTTGATACAGTGCCATAGTTGCACAGTCAGTGCTCTGTGTATAATACAGGATTGTGTGTATAATAAATTGGGACACTCAGTGCTCCATGTATAGTGTTGCTCTCTGTATAATACAGGTCTGTTTGTGTATAATATCCCAAGACAGAGAGCAGCACTATACAGGGAGCACTGACTGTCCCGGGATATTATACAGGCATATATATATATATATATAGATATAGCATATATATATATAATATATATATATATATATATATATATATTATTATACACACAGATCTGTATTATACAGATAGCTGAGCATATACCCCATGTCCCAATCTCTAGACTACTAGTACCTGTCAACAGCAGCTCCCAGACGCGTGTAACAGGGCTAAAGTGTGCGGCAGCTCACACAGATGCTTCAGCGGTAAAGTGCACTCGCTGGCAGAGCCAAACTGGGAATCCCTGGATATATATATATATATATATATATATATATATATATTACAGTAAGCACACAAGCTCACTGACATGCGCAAATAGGCTTACTGACAGACAAAACTCTTTGACTCACACAAGCTTACTACAGACAAACTCACTTGTATAAACAGAAGGCTCACTACAAAGAAGTTCAGGGACACTCACAAGCTCACTGACACACACATGCTCACTGACACACACAAGCAGTACCATTTTAACAGAGTTAAGGGCCCCCGGGCAAAGCAATGCACTGGGGCCCTTCCTACACAACAACTCACAGGAATTTAAATTATTGATAGACTGTTGAGTCCATGCACACACACACACAGCCTACCTGTCACTGGAGGCTGTTGCTGGGTGTCAGGCAGCCATCTTCTGTAGCAGCATGGTCTGCTGCTTTACGGTGGGGGTGGGGCTTATGGGCGGGGCTTATGTGCGGGAGGCAGGGCCTGTGCCGGGGAGCCGGTCAGTGCTCTCTCCAGCCCCAGCAGTGTTCTAGCTGCTCTGCCCTGCATTCCCTCGGGCTGTAACAGACTGTTACAGCCCAAGGGAATATAATTGAAGCACATGGCCAGCAAGTTGCCGGCATTTGGGGGGGCCCAAGGGGGGGCACAGCATGCTGTAGGGGGGGCCATGGCCCCCTCTGGCCCCCCCTAGTGACGCCACTGGACGGAGGGGACATCTTTAAGGGGTTAATATGTCAAGTGTTCATCTGAAGTTGTATTTACTGAATTTTAAGACCTGCTTAGGGACAGACGATTGTTATTATTTCCTGAAATAAAAAGTAAATAATAAAAAAGTAAAACCATAGACGTCAAAGAGGGTATACTTTCTTTTTCCCATTACTATATGTTAAAGCAGCACTGTCATGCCAAACTTACCTTTCCCCAATCAATTCCTCTTCTCTCCCTCTCTCATGATCTGTTCTTCATTTCTTCCTGACTGCTCTAGTTTTCTTTAAAAAATTAAGACAAAGTAGGGACTATTTCGCTTATGGAGGCTTCCAGTGCCGTGACCAGCGGAGAAGCAAAGTGTGCTTCCACTGGTCAGAGCAATTTTCCCATAATTCCCATAATCCATAGCTTTCCTCCCTGTTCCCACGATGCTTCATGTCAGTATTGCCGAACGTTTTTTTTTTTTTTTTTTAAACCGTGAGCAGCCACAGACTGCTCACTGTTTAGTAGACATGCCCCTACTTGCGGTATAGCGAGTAGGGGCATTCAGGAGATTTTAATCTCCTTATGCTATTATGGTGGTCTTATTGACCCCCATAGAATGAAGGCAGGACATGGGTAGTTTAGGAAGTGGCTGGGAGCACTCCCTGCCGCTTCTATCTTTACATATTACAAGGAGGGAGCTGCGTGCCGGTAGCTCCCTCCTTGTAATAAACTAAACGAATGAACAAACACTGATATTCAGTGTTAGTTTGTTTGTCTGAAATTCCTAGTCCTTCATTCGTCTTTCTGACAAATTAATGAATAGATGAAATTCCTGTTCGCATGCCCAAGTGTTTCACTGGGCATGTGCGGGAATCTCAGTCTGTCTAGTGTGGGCAGATGACGTGTCCCACAGGGACTTCATTTACCCACACAAAGATGGCAAACATAGGTAATATGGGGGGCTTAGGGGCATTTGGGGGTGACTAGGGGGTCAGTTAGATGTAGTGGAGTCGGGGGGGGTTAAAAAAAAAAATGGGATTCGACTATGACAGTGCCGCTTTAAATACTGTAATGAACAGCTAAACAGTATACATTAATGTGTTTCGATCTCTGCAAACCTCCAGTAAAATGCATTATTTAGTATTAGCTAAAGATTGTTTACTTTAAGATGCACCCCATCAGTCAGCCTGACCTTATTAAATTTGATCAATGTGGCACGTATTCTACCATCAATATGTCACTAAAAATGTTTTTCTTTGTTTGACAGACTCCCATACATCCAATCCCTATGGTTTATCATCCGCACAGACATTTTCCTTAAAAAATAATGCATGGAGCTTAGCCTGGCATTTTATGCTGGGCTCAGACGACTTGTTTAGCTGTAGATTGACTTTTAATTTTAATACCATATATGATGGTGTAATAAACATTACACAGACATTACAATTGAAGGCATTCCCCTTTACTGATACAGGATATTATATTTTGCAGTGAAAACTCCTGGTTTCCTTTCAATCACTATATGTATAGGCAATGATGCCATTTTAATGTCACCAAAATCCACATGTAATTTTGTATAAGATTCTATGTTTTTATATAAAACTTAAAATTATCATATAATTTTGGCCTGTAATCTGACACAATTTTCAAAGAATGATAATGAATAAGGCTCATAAAATGTACTTCAAAGCTGCTTTGTTTGTGATGGCTTCTACTAGGAGCATCCTATATAGTTTAGGCCATTTTGAATGGGCATTCCTTATTAATCTAGATATTTTGCCTTTTAATGGGTATTGGAAAGATGATATGCAGATGTTGCCATGGAGACTATGGCCACTTGAATGATTCCTTTTGGCAATTGTTTATCCTTCTGAGGATAACCTTGCATTTTCTGGAAAGATTTCTTAATATGATTGATTTATTTAGTCGTATTCAGTTATTTTCAACAACTGAGGAGTCAATGACAAGTGGGGGGGGAAAAAGGCCATACAATGAGCTAACACAATGCAGCTTGCATGAAAAGTACAACTGTCACATTTTTTGATGGTGAGGAGGCTGTTATTTGCAATAATGTAAGGGCAAAATATGTTCAGTAGTAAATGAAAGGTTTTTTTTTTTTTTTTTTTGCATAGAATCTGACACATGAACATATAAACAAGAGTGAAGAGATCACATGGTTAAGTGCATTAGCCGATCGGGACGCAGCGGCGCCATTTTGGCTCCGTATGCATTCCACCGTGGAACGCATAGATTACCACTCTGAAAAACGCTACGTCCGGTGTGACGTTTGCGTTCCAAAGTGGTCACAGGAAACAGAAAATGAACAATGAAGCACACCAGGAAGTAATTACTATTAAGAGACTGCCACAAATGAAAGTTACGAGGACTTACCCCCCACTTCTGAAGAAGCCTCTACAGGTGAAACGCATAAAGTGGGACCCATTGAGGACATCCTATATTGTTTAATTGTTTTTGTTAAATAAATGGTAAATGTTTAACTTTAAATTTTATATTTACTTTCAATTTATTTATTTCCTGACTACCATCATATTCCCAGGTGGGGATTATACCACCTATGCTGTATACACTAGAGCACGTTCTGCTCTAGTAAATGTGAGTACATTACTTTATTCTCTTTTTAATACTTGAACATACTTACTTCACTATTGGAATATTTTCCTATGTTTTAATTTTTTTATATATGACCTGCATAGTGCACCTTATCTGAGACAACCAGAGACGTCAATATCTACATTTATCCTTAGACAGGGATTGTTCCATCCATGTGCACAACAGCTGAGCTCTAATTTAGCTCTAGCAAATGTGAGTGATATCATAGAAGATTATTCTAGCTTCCACTCACTGAGCATACCATATTACACTATTGTATTTCTTTGTCCTTTTGTTTTTAAGGTCAATTGTATGTACAACTTAAACAATTTATTTTTATTTTTTTATGTATACATCTTTTATTTATACTGCTTGGGGCGCGGTCTCCTCCTACTATTTTCTATACTCTAATACTCACAAGGTTGGGAATCCTTGTATCGGTTACTGCTTCCCACAATTATCATAAGTTTAGCACTATAGTGAGCGCCTAATACTTTACTTTTGTCTTTTATATATCCCTCTCCTGAGTGTTGGATACCATACCTCTGGAGGACTCCTATCACATATCCTTTAAAGTGGGGATTATACCGCTGTACACCCTTTACACCAGAGCTGGCTATAGCTTTTTTAAATGTGAGTTTATTGCACATATTTGTTTATTTTACCCATATTGGCTTTTATAAACTGCACCATTGGGTCTCCTCATTTTTGTCTTGCATATAAGCGGGAAGGTTGGACCACTAGGGACATTGAGTACTCTACACCCCAAAAGGCACCTTATAAAGATACTTACTTCTGAGTGAGACCTCAATTTTATTGGACTTTACCTTCAGTTACTCAATCAGAACTTTAGTCCCACCATATCAGTGAGACCAACTACGTTATATTGTTCTACCTATTCAGACGAACTATTGTACCTTTTAAGTATTGGTGCAGCCTTTTTCCTGTATTTCTTTTTGTTACATGTTCTCTCCTTAGAGTTTGAGGGTTACCTTCTGTTGGGCCGCTCCCTACCTTACTTAATTTAATTAGCGCTGACCCTTTTCTTTTATATATTTACAGTGCCTTGCAAAAGTATTCACCACCCCCCTTGACTTTTTACCTATTTTGTTACAATACAGCCTTAAGTTCAATATTTTATGTGATGGATCAGAACACAATAGTCTAAGTTGGTGAAGTGAAATTAGAAAAATATATACATAAAACTATTTTTTTAGAACTATAAAACAGAAAATTGGCAAGTGCTTATATATTCACCCCCTTTGTTACGAAGCCCATAAAAAGCTCTGGTGCAACCAATTACCTTCAGAAGTTGGTGAAATGATGTCCATCTGTGTGCAATCTAAGTGTCACATGATCTGTCATTACATATACACCTTTTTTGAAAGGCTCCAGAGGCTGCAACACTTAAGCAAGAGGCACCACTAACCAAACACTGCCATGAAGACCAAGGAACTCTCCAAACAAGTTAGGGACAATGTTTATTGAGAAGTACAAGTCAGGATTAGGTTATAAAAAAAATAAATAAAAATATCCAAATCTTTGATGATCCCCAGGAGCACCATCAAATCTATCATAACCAAATGGAAAGAATATGGCAAACCTGCAAAGAGACGGCCGCCCACCAAAACTCACAGACAGGGCAAGGAGAGCATTAATCAGAAAGGTAGCACAAAGACCAAAGATAACCCTGGAGGAGCTGCAGAATTACACATCATAGACTGGAGTATCTGAACATAGGGTGACAATAACCCATACACTCCATAGAGTTGGGCTTTATGGCAGAGTGGCCAGAAGAAAGCCCTTACTTTCAGCAAAAAACAAAATGGCATGTTTTGAGTTTGCAAAAAGGTATGTGGGAGACTCCCAAAATGTATGGAGGAAGGTGCTCTGGTCTGTTGAGACTAAAATTTAACTTTTCGTCCATCAAAGAAAATGCTATGTCTGGCGCAAACCCAACACATCACAGCACCCAAAGAAAACCATCCCCACAGTGAAACATGGTGGTGGCAGCATCACGCTGTGGGGATGTTTTTTCAGCAGCCGGGACTGGGAAACTGGTCGGAGTTGAGGGAAAGATGGATGGTGCTAAATACAGGGATATTCTTGAGCAAAACCTGTACCACTCTGTGCGTGATTTGAGGCTAGGACGGAGGTTCACCTTCCAGCAGGAGAATGACCTCAAACACACTGCTAAAGCAACACGTGAGTGGTTTAAGGGGAAACATGTAAATGTGTTGGAATGGCCTAGTCAAAGCCCAGACCTCAATCCAATAGAAAATTTGTGGTCAGACTTAAAGATTGCTGTTCACAAGCTCAAACCATCCAACTTGCTGGAGCAGTTTTGCAAGGAGGAATGGGCAAAAATGAAAGTGGTAAGCTGATAGAGACTTATCCAAAGCGACTTGGAGCTATGATTGCTGCAAAAGGTGGCTCTACAAAGTATTGACTTTAGGGGGGGTGAATAATTATGCACATTGACTTTTTCTGTTATTTTGTCCCATTTGTTATTTGCTTTACAATAAAAAAAAAAAATCTTCAAAGTTGTGGGCATGTTTTGTAAATTAAATAATTCAAATCTTTAAACAATCTATGTTAATTCCAGGTTATGAGGCAACAAAACACGAAAAATGCCAAGGGGCGTGAATACTTTTGCAAGGCACTGTATGTATACCAACAAAGTTGTGGTGGGGAAAAAAGCGTAGATGAGAAAACCCTTTTCACCAGAAGTAAGTGGATAGTTAATACATTGCTAAACACAAATACACACACCAGTCAAGCCAGAACACTTGCTTTTCCCACAGAAATCTCATTTTAACAGTGCTCTGACTTCTGCAAGGGATTCTGGGTAGGCATATGCAAATGAGCTAAACAAATAACCACATTTTTGTCTCATAATTTCACTTTATACATCCTTATGTTTTCTGTTTATTAAAATAGAATAAAAATAGAATTATTTTTTTTGATGAGTGATGACGTCAGTCACATGACCTGCTATACTAAAGCTATAGAAACAAATAATGTGACGGCAGATAATAACCATTCGGCCTAGCTAGTCTGCCCAATATTTCAAAATACTTTTAATTAGTCCCTGGCCTTATCTTAAGTCTAGGATAGCTTTACGGAGGGCAAAAAAAAGGGTTGCAAGAGTATTCTGAGAACGGACAGCAACTTAAATAGCCTGCCTGTCGGTGGGTCCCCACTCATAACTCAAGCTGGTTTTAGCTCATCTTTTGCCATTACAGAGAAAACATCTCTGAAACATATTAGACTGCTACCACCCATACGGGCAGTCCAGATTCGTAATGCCAGCAAGTTCTCTCTGCATGAGAGACACAGCAACCCCAGACGATCGTTTCAACCTAGGTAGGCATCATCAGTGAGGTATAGCTGATATCTCTCTAGATAGCCACACGAACTGGAGACCACCCATGAGTTTGTTAAGCCTAATTGATACTTTGTAGCAAGTTCCACTGCAGTGTTCTGTGTTTGTTTGGGTGGCCACAAGTCCTATGGATGACCTCGAGGTGGCAGCCATTCTGTTCGCGTGAAATCAGGCAGCGGTGTTTGGTTGTCGAGTTAATGGAACTATTTTCGGACACTGAAACTCCCGAACACCGCTGGACTTCCATGATCACCTGGGTTTGATTCTACAATACTTAGAAAGGCACTGTACGGTGGAAATGTTCCCACGAATAAGGGGAACAAGCTCCAGGGTAAGAACATTGACCATGTTCGGTAGTTTGTTCAGTTTTTAAACTACCGAACTAGACCTACCGCAAGCCCTGATTCTCTGGAACTGTTTTGGGCACGGGACCATGCGTGCGGTTGGTCAAATTATGACTTCCAAGAAATTCCTAAACCCCTAAACTGATCTGGGTGATTTTTGGATATGTTGGTCACCCAGATCGGGACTATCAGGAGCTGTAACTTTTGTGGGGTTTTATGTAATTTTAAGGAACATTTGAGGTGTTTGGGAAATGTGTGTTTTTTTTTTTTTTTTTTTTTTTACCTGGAGATAATTGAGTTTAATACAGTACTTGACTCAATTTTCTCCCAGGCACAGGGGAGGGATAATCTTATTATGTATAGGAGTGTCCTGGATCTAAGAGACAATGTAATTGTGTATTTGTTTCTACTGTAGTCTACTCTCAGGTACAGAGGGGAGTGCCCCTTGGATGGGAACCTGCAAATAAGGCCAGTTGTGGCTGCCAATAAAGGTATTCCAGCTTGTACTCCCAGAACTATGTGTTGTCTGGTTATTGGGAGGGGAAAGGGCTAATCACTGTTCCAGCTTTTTCCAGCGTGGAGGATTCAGCAGGGAAACTCCTTGTAAGGACTTGAGCTCTTAGGACTGAGTGTCGTCCAGTGCCTGGGGTTGCCTAGAGCAAATTCCCCATTCAGCTCTAGGAGGGAGCGGTTCCAGGACCCCAGTCAAGCCACAGTGACTGTGGGCAGAAGTGCTGCGGTTTGTCCCCTGTTCCAGCTAGGAAGCCGTCCTTGACGGAGGTACCCAGCCGTGGTACAGGGAGCTCTGTTACAGTAAACACACTGCTTTTTCAGATAAAAGACACTGGGTGCAGCACTGGTGTTGGCCCATATGGTAGCTCATATGGGTGGGGCATTGTGATGTCACATGGTGGGCAGAGCAAATGGGGGGGTGGCAAATTTTAGTTTGCCTAGGGCAGCAAAAATCCTCACACTGGCCCTAAGTGAAATT